TTAATTCTATATTTTTAACGGAAAGTTCGTGGTTTTTTACAGTGACGTGCGAGAGCTCAACCGTGCAGTTGCTTCACAACCTGGGCAGCTAGGCGCTGCGCTGCGACCCTAGGTGCAAGACCAACTCGGGTCAGGACGTGGACGGCCGGAAGGAACCAGTTCGGCGACGGCGGCCAGCGCTGACCCCAACGTGCTCGTCCTGTTCTCCCCCTTCTGCGGCTTGTGGCTCACCGACTCATCTCAGGTAGTCTGGTCTCAACAAAACTAGCTCAATTTCTTAACTGTTTGTACTTATTTTTATTTTTGCGCAGGTTTGTGTCGTTGGTTGCTTTTGCACCGCACGATGCCCCGAGCAAGGAAGCGGCCTGCTGCGACAGCGGACGGCAGCGGGGATCAGCCACCGCAGAAGGGAGCGCGGGCCAGTGCCAGAGTTGCCAGTGCCAAAGTTGCGGCGAGAGGCGCCAGTGATCCGTGAGTCTCGGTGCAAGAGCAGTTTGGTTGCGAGGAACCCCAAGCCTCGCAAGAATGATGCTAGCTCACCTCACTGTGGTCCCTTGTTGTTTTGCAGGCCGTCGTGGTGCTCCGAGTGCTGGGCGCCCGCCGCCGCCGGCGAGTGTTCCGATAAGGGACACACCCTGATCTCTACCAGCGATGCACAGCGCACGGCCAGGGAGGCCTTCGCTGAGGCACAGGCTGCGCTTAATCGGTGCCAGGCTCGTCTGGACGCTACCTTGAAGTCGGGCGAGACGCTCATCCTCAAGGCTGAAGTGGACGGAATAGACGACGATACTGATTATATGGAAGGGGCTACGTTGACAATCAAGCTCGTCGTCGACGGCGGCCTCAACGAGAAGGAAAAGAAGTCCATCATCGCCGCCATGAAGAGCAAGGATGAAGACGACGATAACCTCGAGTGCTACCCGGAGGCAGACGAGTCATCGGCCCTTGCCGCGCAAGGTGTCCTGAACACCAAGCGGATACAGCCGGTTCTGCACAAGCTCTCCCAGTGTGTGGTGGGGCAGACGCTCCCTCCAGGCACGATCCTCATCTGCCCCCAGTCCAACACCTTCGACGTGTATGCCCGCGCTGTGGTTGTCCAGAAGTCCCAACGCAACGACCGCATTCTCGGACAGGTGACGGCCGGCCTCGGAGATCTGCGAACGCATGGCAAAGCTCATGAACCCTGGCACAACTGGGACGACGAAATTGATGGAAACATATCATCTACCAGAATCTCTGCCATGTATTTTGAAGTGCCGAAACCTGCGCCGAAAGCTTAATCGGCTACTGCTACTGCTCCTGGGGGAGGGCGTGGGCAGATTTAGGTCAGTACCGTTCGAGGTGGTTTGGTAATCTCATCTGCTACGGCCGTGGTTCGTGAGAAGGCAGAATATTTTGTTTTAATATATCTCCGACGTGTCTGTTTGTCTAGTAACTTCAATTTCCAATCAGTCTGGAAAAACATGACTACTTCTGTGCAGTATTTTTAAAAGTGTGTTTTTATTTGTTTTTACGCTAAATAAAGTGTATTTTTATGTATACTTTTCATAGTTTCCTTTGGTATTAATCCATGTGGTACATTTTAAGAAAATTCTTTTTTAATCTGATTCCATTTTGGGGGTTCTTTTTGGAGCTGCGCTCTGCCCACCCAATGAATGGTGAACGAGAGGCAATGCTGTGTAGGCGATGTTGTGTGGCCAGGCCGTGCTGTGCCTGCAGGTTCATCCACTTCCATGCGAAAACAGCTCTTGTAAGACGATCGCAAGCGTAGCCCCGCGCAACCCCCCGCGCAACCGGCACGGCCTACAAGCACGGCCTTGGCCGCACAGCATCGCCCCCACCCCCACCCCCGCGCATTGTGGGGCTGGTGTTGACGCCCCGGACGGCCGGAAAGACCAGGTCCGCGACGGCGACCCTTCGTGCCTGTCCGGCTCTCGGTGTGAGTTCGCCATCGCCGTTACTGCAGCTGCGGCTCATCCTGGGTAGGCCAGGGCTAGGGCGGGTTGAAACCTCCTCAGGCCTCCGCATTCAGTCAGCAGCAAGCACTCCGCACCCCGCAGTCGAGGTCCAGCTCCAGCAGGCATCAAACGTCCCTTCTCCGCGCAACTTCACAGCTAAGAAGGTAGGTCGTTTGTAATGCTCTCCGAAGCGCAGGGATGTGTTTTCAGAGGATGGAGGATGTGTCGTGTCTGGAATGGACCATGTGAATCACTCCTGTTACTACTCGTGTGTATATAAGCCATACGTGCAGACGGAGGACGGAGGGGAGTAGGCAAGCCCGCTAGCACCAGAGATCAATTTTTCATTACCGGCACGGGCAGACGAAAATGTCATGTTTACATCTTGTAGCGGCAGATTTCGAAGTTATTTCTAGACGTTTCTAGAGCAAGAAATCAAGTGTTTCGTAATTTTTCGCGCGGTATTGTTGACTTTTAAGATTCACTTCGTATTGCGTAGATTACCCGTTACATTTTCCTGCCAGTATTAATAGATGAGCCTTATTTTTTAAGAAGCACATTTATGTTATAGGTTATGTTGTGACATAGTGCCTAGAATAAAATAATAAGTTATAATATCAACGAAACTACTCACAGAACACTCATTGGTTAGTATCAGGTATTAAAAATATGAAAAGATGTCGGTTCCAACATGAAATGTAATGTTAAACGGTTGTTCTGTGGTGTTTGACCATCTGTGAAAATTTCAATAATTCTGTTTTGTGCAAATAAATAGAGAAGGCAACTTAACTTTAACAGACATTTACATCAAAAAGAGCCAATTGCTATGAGTTCATTTTGTTCCGTTGAATTTTGATGGCTGTTGTGATGAGTTGACTAACTCCATTTTGGTAAATGACAACGATCGTTCAAGTCAATTACGCTTAAATCTCAAACTTATTTATCTTCCACCGTGGTGAAAATATCCCCACCCTTCCTGTGGATGGAAGCAAACTTTCCTATACTATGTTAAAGCATGAAAATCTCAGTTTGACAAATAAGTAACTCATTTCTTTCCTATGCTTCACAGCCCACTAATAGCTTTGTTTTCTTTTAAAATACTAATTTGTATCAATTGTTTACAAGTAATTTGATAATTAACTTTTATTTCATGGCACCTCAGAA